ATATCAAGTCTCATGCAATATGTAATTCAATACCCATTGGTTTCACAATATGCAAAAACCTTCATGAACTACAAAGGTTCAACCACACTAGACATCTTGGAAGTAAATTCATACAAACCAAGTTAATCTAATCAACACAACATATGTTAGGGAAGCCCAGCATGATGGCATTCCTACAATATTCCCTATGGTTCAAATTCTTAGGTAATCGATGATTCTAAATAATTAAAAACATGGGTCAAAGCATATAAGTATTTTTTAAAAAATACATGATAGTTTTTCTCCCACTTTTATAAATGCCTTCAAGACACAATGTTTTTCTTTTTAATAAAAAAAAATTGACTTGGTGTATATATATATATATATATATATATATATATGCATCAAATTTAATTTAAAAATACATGCTTAGCCTTCATAAATCATTTTGCCGCATTCGCCTTTAATTTCCTACCAAGTCAAGTTCATGGCCACAAAAACAAATCATATATACCATCTTATAATTTTATCCAAAATAAAGCATGACTAAATAATGTCTATTAAAGCTTTGGCAAAATACTTCATTTTTGGCAATTATGGAGAATTTATCAAGAGATCATCATCATATGAAACATATCATATTATAGACATTATTGAGAGGATGGTCACCAAGACCAAGTTCCATCAAAACACTTCATTTGTGCTTACATATTTGAATGAGTCACACCCATCTCTCGTGTTTCATCATTAGGGCTCAAAGCCCTTGATCAAATCACATCTCCATGTGTATCACTATCTTAAGTAGTTCATACTCAAGCACAAGGAGGCACAGAAACACAAGGTATTCAAAACGGGCACTTTCAAATTTGTTAGCACTTATCACTTAATGTCCATACACTACATACATATTCATAAAACAATTAGCCAAACTATAACCAAAGCACATTAAAAAAGGTTATTGAATCATCTTTCCTATATGACTTTACCATATAATGTGGGATAGATTTCATACCTCAAAACCATGTAGTGTGGTGCCTGTGCTTTCTTGATTTATCGCTTTTATTTGTTTGACAAGCTTTTGTGATATTGGAAGTGCACGCAACTGATGAAGAATATATTAGTCATTAGTTTCATATGTCATGAAGTGTCCACCTCTTTGGCACTTGGATTCTCTGGCTTACACTGTGAAGAAAATATTTTCTTTATCCAATTATTTGAAATATCACAATTTCGATTCTCCCACTGATATTTAGCAATTTTATGCTACCATCAAGTCTCCCTATATATCCATTCATTTCGAAGAAACCAATATGTTTTTATAGGTATTGTATTTCTTCTTTTTTTTGTTATTTCTAGATTGAATACTCTTCACATAGAATCTCTTATCTTGCTAACTCTGCATTACATCTCTCTGAAGTTGTATTATAATAAACCATACTCATGACACACTATAAAGGCATTTAAAATGAGTCTTAAAGGTCTCAATAATTAAGAATTCAAGGATGTGTCTTAACATGCCACATATTTTAAGTTACTGCAGCATAGAACATGAGCATCCCATGATAAAAATATGATATCTGTCTACTTATAAAAAGTTTATCTTTGAATCCTTTGGAGTATTGAAATAGACTAAAAAATATAAAATAATGATCAGTTTCATTCCTAAATCATACCATATAGTGAGTCTTCGTTTCAGTGACATTTAGGTCACAATGCAATTTTTTCAGTAGAAAATCAGATTAAGCACCTCTCAATTAAAAAATTGTTTTTCTCAATTCTCAAAGAATTTCGTCTTAAAATCTTTTGTATTGAAAACTAGACTCAAAACCAAATCATAACATCATAGTTTGAATCGCAAATAATACTTTCCTTTAGAGAAATAAATAAGTGACATTCATGTAATAAAATAAATCATACTACAGAATTCCAAAATGAACACTATCTAGTGAAATTATCTTTTCTCTCTACCATTATGGAGTTTCTCTTTCAAACCAATTTTGTTTGAAATTAGAAACATAATAGTAACACATATATTTTCACAAGCTTTATATCACTCTATTAAGTAGGCTTGATAAATATAGATATTCATGTCCTTAATGAATAACATACCAAATTGCAGAAAATTGAGGATAACCTCTCTTCAATCCAAAATTTTTATTCTTCTCTTCTCATAGATATTTCTCTTTCAAATAAATTTTATTAGAAAATAGACTCAGAATGGAAGTCTAAAAATTTATTGTGAACCATAAAACATTATGTTAAGTAGAGAAATAAAATCATGACTTCCAAGTCATGGAAATAGCTTTCGTTGTAGAAAACAGAACTTGCGCACTCTTCAATAAATTTATATATCTTTCAAACCACAAGGAATTTCTTGATGAAACGTTCTTTGCTTGAAAATTGACTCAATTTTGTGGGTCATGATAAAATTTCAGCAAGAAATAAAATCCTATGATTTATGGGAAAAATCACAGAACTCAATAGACAGTTCTTGGATTTTGCAGGGTTAAAATTGACACCTTTCATTGATGATTCTATAACTCTCAATTCCCTTAGGATCTCCCATTGAAATTTTTCAGGTAGGTCTCACTCTTAAAGACACAAAATATCACTGAAGTATGTAATAGAAAAATACATCATTATCTTATTTATATCACTACTCCAAAATAGCTCAGAATACTTATTCTGCAAAGTGCCTTTTCAGTGTTAGAGTATTTCAATAATTTTTAACCGTGAGTGTATTTCTTAACCACAAAGGTCATTAGCTTTATTATTTCTCATTCCCAAGCTTGATCTAAACTCAATAAAGAGAAAATATAACTAATGACATCGAGTATCAATAGCTCTGATACCAATGAAAAAAAGACCTATGTGATATTTTACCAGAGAATACAA